TCAGCTTCTGCTATGTCCATTGAAAAGGATGTAAAAAGGTGTTTTTCTCAGAAACTGGAACCTCCGACCCCAAAAAAACCCGCTCCTCCCCCATTCTCCTGCACCGTTCTCCCACGCGTCCGCCTTCGCCCTCGGAGGGCTCGCCAAAGGCCCGAGCCACGTGGCCACACAGCGGGTCGAGCCGCGCCGCGCGGAGTCGACGCTCCGGGCGCGGGGCACAGCGAGCCTGAAGCGCCAACGGCGCGCCACGTGGAGCGCGGGGTGGTTGGGCACGGAAGACGAAGAAGTCGAGACGGAGTGGATCGATAGAACGACGCCAAACGGTGGGTGAAGTGCATTAATTGAATGTGATTCATGTATATTAATGTATCTCATTGTAGACTGTTGATGAATAGAACCCCCAGATCCAGAAATGTGTTGCATCTCCACAGGGCGAGTTTCATGAATCAGCTGTCTACATGAAAGAGGAACAGTGTACCTGCGAATGGCCGAAGGCGACTTTCGCGCTCTTCAGGTTACCTTTCGCCACAGATTACGTTGGCATCGAAACCCAAGTGTGGCAGGACTTGTTCATCCCAAAACCCTTGGAACCAACTAGGAAACGGGGATTCATCCTAGTGAAATGGGGATTCTAGTGTGGTGGCGGGAAGCTTGATGGGAATCTAACAAATCCATATTCACCCCAACTCGCCGCCGTTCAGGGCCGCTGCGAAGTCGGGTCTCTTTCACACCGAGTGACGAGCCCTTGGAGCCCTTGGAGCCCTTGGAGCTGGGCTTGGCCGAGCGAGGCCGCGGGTGCGGCACCGGTGCCCGCGGCCGCTCCCAGCAGAGCGAGCCGCGCGGAGCATCGGATTCCAGGATCTCGCCGAGCGCATGCCCAGCGGCCTAGCAGCATAGCACCGTGGAAGCCAAATGAGCACAGAAAGGGGTGTGTATGTTTGGCGTATATTCTTTTTGCGGTCAAGGACTGCGATGTCCGAACTGCTTCCACCAACAAACAATTATATCAGCGTGTCACCGCGTGTCAGTAAAAGTCTACATCATTGTGTGCATTGCACATACACTAGTACATCTCAACTTGGTGGAAGCGCGCGTTTTGGTGTCGACCATTTGGGAGCGCTGAGCGCCCACTCGTGGGAACCCACGTTTCTCTCAGTGTTGCAAGCGAGTTCCGCTTCTCCACCCAAAACCCTCATGAACCAAGCTGGGAAGGCCCCGAAAACCACTCAAAGCCATCTCAACTTCATGCTCAGCCAGTATCCAGCTCCTCTCCTCTCCTAAAAGCACCCTCTCCTCTCCTCCCCGATCCTTCAGCCCCCACGTGTGCCACACCGTGCACAATGTGCCACACCGTGCGCCCACCTCGGAGGTGGCATGCAACTGCCATGGAAGCAGTTCTGATGTCCATGCCTGGCATTTTTGTCCAAAGCGACGTGTCCGCACGACGGGTCCTCAAGTTCTCCAGTTCAGCAAGCGCTGTTAGGGCACAAGTGTTTTCAAGCAGTGCTGCGCGCAATGAGCGACAACCTCGAGTCTATCAGATTGGATCGCCACGATCTCCGCCTTGCTGCCGCTTTTGGGCGGTGCCCATTCTTCCACCAAAGCCATTGCCTTCGTCTGACGCTCCTGTGAACCCATTGAGGCAAGTCTAGATTATGATTCTGACCGGATGGAAGAATCATGGTCTTAGCAAACAAATACCTACTAGTAGAGTCATTCATGTCGCAAATCGCTCTGCTGGACCACATCTTCGCTCCTTCTTTTGGAGCTCTTCCTTCTCGCGGAGGGCATCTTCCTCTTGCCTCACGGCTCGGCCGGTGCTCAGTGCTCAGTGCTCCGTCCACGCTCCGTCCAGTCCGGTCGTCTGGTCGCAGCCGTCATGCACATGAAGGCAACACATCCTTATGCAGGACCCCACTCAGTCTCGCAGAAGGACACCTTCTCCACCACCAAACACCTTCACCGGTGCCTCTGGGCTTGGAGCTTGCTTTGCGCTGCCAAGCCACGACTCCTTCAAAACAGAAAGATACTGGAGAAGAAGGTCCGTCTCAAAACAAGGAAAGCCCCTCCCAAGCTTCCTTCCATCATTGACAAGAGTCTGGCAGAAGTCAAGCTGGATGAAACTCATTGGTCTGAGAGTCGCATAGAAACCTTGACCCTCCACGCGTAGTCCAGGTCCCCAGTCTTCCGTGATGTCCTGGCAGCTTGTCGTTGCGCCCGGCTGGGCTGTGGCGCTGGCACTCGAGGCTGCTCGAGGGCGGCTTCCACCGGTGGGCCTTCACGCACGACCTGCGGAGGATCGTTGGCACCGGGTGGTCCCTGCAGGTGTGTTTCCTGACGGTTTCTGAGCCCCTTTGCGGGCGAACGCAAATGTCCGTCTTTTGTTGCAGGAGCATGAAACATCCTGACACTGAACAAATTTAAATGTCTTTTCACGTGCTTCGAGCTCTACCCGAATGTTTCTTCGCCTAGTCCCAAGGACTGTGCCCCAAATTTGTTGCTGCTCGAGTTGCGAGCGAAAAACCGACGCCTTCACTCGGGTCTTGGACAGTTGCTGCAACCCTGAGACGTCGGTCTTCAGAATCTTCTTCTCTTCAACCTGTCAGAGAAACTCGCCCACCAGACCTTCATTCATCTGCCTAGGTTTACTCCTCGGCCTCAAAAGAAGAAGGGGTTTGCAGTCCTGCAAATGATCTAGTGGGAACACGTGTCTGAAAACTATTTGTCAAGCATGATTACACACTTTAGATCCTCACAGTAGGCCAAATGTGCTCCCACCGAGCACCACCGAGTTTGCCATTTGGCTAGTGCAGCGGTAGAATCTCCCCAGAAATTCAGGAGCAGGCCTCCAAGTGTACATGATTGTACATGTTTGACCCAAATAAAACAGTCCTCCAGAAAAGGAGCGTGAAGGTGAGCTCCACCCTCTCAAGAACCAAATGGCAAATTGCCCCGGAAAGAAACCAAGCTGGAGCCCATCTAAAGTTATCTATCTAAAGTGGTATTTTTTGCAGGAGCGGCAGGATTCAACTGATTGAACTGCTTCTTTTGGCTGTAGCCGAATAGGGATGCAACAGATACAGCAGTTCTGGGCAAAGCAAAAAAAGCGACCTCATCCAGTCTTCCACGCCTGTGGCTCCACCAAGTGCCGCCGCTCCACCAGGGCCTCGGCCTCCTTGGTGACACGGCCCTGCTCCGCGGCGCGGCGCGCCCGGAGCCGCTCGGTGGCCTTCACCTGCGGCCGGAACTGGAGAAAGCATTGGGAAGAAACGCCATCCCGATCCCAGGGTTGAAAGGGTGAGCACCCAAAAGAATATGTGTATATTTTATATTGTATAATATCGTTTATATTATAAAATAAGATATCCCCTCCCCAAGGAAAAAAATCATTGCGTGCCTCCGCGTCTCAACATGATTTGTCCGACTCTTTCAACAAAAACCACTCTTGCGACCATCCTCACCACTCACCACACCCAGCAATCCGAACTACACGCCTCCTGGCGCTGCCGCTGGCGCTGCTGTGCCTCCTCCGCCCGGAGGCTCTCGAGGGCCTTGCGCTGCCGACATGCCTGCGGGGCGGCCCCATCGCTTCGGCGCAGAGTGTGCCTTTTGACTTGCATTGGAGGCTTGCGGGGGGGTTAGAGGCAAGACGTAAGTTGAAGGCTTAGGCTTAGGCTTGTAGTCTTGTAGCAGTCTGGTAGGTCGGCTTCTGAGCCTCCTGACACAGAACGTGACCTGGTTGGGATCAGGTGAGTTTGGCGATGTTAAGTTTGCATGCGGGATCAGAAGGCAACCCTTCACTGCAACCTTCTCCCTCGCCTCCAGGCATCGCAGGGCTTCCTGTTCAAAGACCATCTGAAATGTTGCTGAGCCAAGTTTGGTTGAATTCCTGGACCTCCTTTGGATGATAGAAAGAGCGTGCACATGAGCAGTCGTGTGCAGACTGCACAGACTGCACAGACGGGAGAAGATTCAAATCCGCTCGGATCGACATCATTGACCCTTGAGATCCACTCGAATGGGGCCGGCAACTCCATCGCTCCTGCTTCTGTCGTTCAACCTCCAAGGCTTCTGCAGCACATCGCCGTGCCTCGTCTTCCACCTGGCTGCGGGGTAAAGCTATGCCGAATGGGTCATCGAATGGTCTAGCTAGACACCATCTAGGCCTGTGGCACCTGCGGAAGCCATGTCACATCGTGCAGTCTCTTATCCACCAACTTGGTCTCTTCCATGGTTCAACCCCCTCCAGTGGCCCAAAGGAGAGAGCCAAATGAGCCATGCCAAGCGCTGCCCACCTTCCGCTGCTGGGCCGTCTGCATGGCATTGCCATCACTGTCGCACACCTGGGAGGGATGAGCCGCTGTCGTTGAGCGCAGGTTCGGTGCTCTCCACGTCCGTGTGGGGCCTCCTTCAGCTTCAGCAAGCCCTCGAGCTGCACGCGCTTGGCAGCTAACTCAGCCCGAACCTGAGATTCGCCGGAAGGAGCTTTGTATGTGTGGCTGATCATTTACTGAAAACCATCCAACACCACTTCAGACTGGCTGACACGGATACTGTAGTATCATGTAGTATCTGATGCACACAACAATATCCACCCTTCCAATAATTGTAGAAGGCACAATGCTAACTACAAGCCACGTGTAAATCTGCCTCCTCACTGCATGGAGAACCCCGACCCTGGGTGTTGTCTAGGTGGGCACCATCTTGGGGCCCCCCGCTTCCACCGTCTTCAAGGCCTTCTCCTCCATCCGCCTCTGCTGCTGGCTACTGCGCCGTTGCTGGCGCGCATCCAGCGATGCCTGGCGACGCACCTGGAGGACGGCGACGTCCACGAGTCGGAGTCACCAGGAGAAGACTCTCGGTCACAGCGACTATTGAAACATGTCGTAAGCAGCATGAAGACAACTGGCAACATGTGCCACATTGCGTGGAACATCTCGGCGACCTTTCGTGGAACAGGTCGTTGAAGTCTGCCTTCCGAAGCGCAGCCCGCTTTTTTTCTTCCTAGCACTCGCAGAGAGCTCGGAGCTCCCCCAACTCTGGTGCGTCGGTGGATACACCAATTCTTTGTGTGTCTCCAAAGCCAAGACAACAGCCCAGGTGTTGCTTCCAGCCGCCTGGCTGCATTTCTTTATGCCCAGGTGTTGTGGGTCGGTCCCAGCGCCGAACGGCTCCACCCCGGCTTCCAAGCCGGTCGAGGGCCTCCATCCAACACCAGTGAGGGGTGTCCGAGTGCCACGCCCGGACCCGACACCGACAGCCGACTTTCGGAGTCTTCTTCTCGTCGGATTCGTCACGGTACTGGTCACCATCTCTGCCATTTCCACGCGTTCGCCGGGGCCAAATCGTTGCTGGGACGGGCTTCGGTCGTCAGGTTGAGGCGACCCAAACAGCCACCAGGGCCGCAGAACAGGAGACGAGGCTGAAGGCCTTGGGCGGTGTTCTTGTTCTCGTGGCCTTCTCAAGAGGTGTGAAACATGGTCCAAAACTCTTTGACTGCATAACGAGCCACTAGATAGGAGGTGCTTTGTACACTCAAGTAAACGACGATGCAAAACGCGTGAGCCAGTTGCATGGAGTGATGGCTGATGATTCGTGACCAAGCATGGAAAGAACGACAAACGATTACATCCACTCAACAGCTGATTGTTGCGACCAAGGAGCTGGAAGGGTGGTCAGCAGGGCTGCGGAGCCAACGACTGCGGCCAAGTGCACGGCTGGAGGAAAGGCCAAGCCACTGGAAGGCGCCTGATGAAGTCATGAAGTGATGAAAATGTCAATGAGGGGATGAGAAGTGATGACGCAAGCGGCTGAAACACAACTCACTTGTCTTCAGAGATACTCTCCCACCAACAAATGAGGATCTGTTAGCTTTGAGTCACTAATCAAGAATCACAATTGCACAATCCCTCGTTAGCTACTTCAACAGCGGCATGTTTTATGCAATCGTATTCCTTGTTAGAACAATGCGGAGGAGAATGCAAGAGAAGCTGACCAACCAGAAATTCTGGGTTGACCAGGAAAGGCTTAGAACTTCCTCTTGAGACATCTGAGACGTGACAAAATAGACATGGCTAGAGGAAAATCTGCAAAAAAGATTGTTTCTGTTTCTGTTTCCTTGGCCAGAGCGCACCAAACATGCCCAATCCAAATCTGTAGATGCTTGGAAGAACAGATCTGGCCTGTGCAAGTTCCTGAACTTTTACGGCGCAAGAGACTGCCGCGGAGGCGAGGAGCAGCGCAATCAACTCAAGCAATGCTGTCGGTTCACCTTTGATCACAAGCCGACACCAACTCTTCAAACACAGAACCAAAACCGCAGAATCGGTTTCCCCAGCGACTGGTCAGCATACATCGAAAAGAGTGTCCCCAGCGACTGGCCAGCAAGGTGTCCAAAGCTCTCTCAGGCGCTTTGATCCGAACGCCTACGCCTCCCGCCCACACCGCCTCCCAGCTGTCGGACCAGCATCGGTGCCAGGGCTGTGTCAGTGGTCCAGCGAGGCGACAGCAGGAGGAGGCAGAAGAAGGTGCAGGGGACGAAGACGGCCAGCAACCCACGCAGCTGCTCTTGCAAAGCACCTAGAGGGGTTGACTCTAGACGGAAGCTTGCTCAATCAGGGCACTGCGGTATTTCTGTACGGAACAGGATACTGCGGTGTTCTTTACTCATCAACTGTTCCCGAAATGAAACGAAAAGGAAATGCATGGCCTTCTTGTCGTGACACGACTGCTGACACTGATGCCAAAATAAAACAACTCAGCACTGCCGCACTGCAAATGTCATTCAAATCCTCCAGGAGACATGGTTGGATCATGGATCGATACATGATGTATTAACCACCCTTCCGTTTGGGATTCTTCCTTGTTTCAAAACGTCCGTCGACGTCCGCCATGTCCTTTCGCTCTGTTTCGTTTTCCTGCTCACAGGCCGAAACTTGCCACAAAAAAATGGTGTAAATCTTCCAATTTGAGTCATTTCAATCCAGACCTCGAAGGGCACCAAGCCAGCACAGATGGCCGTCGCCGCGCCGCCCAGCAGCGTCGCAAGGAGCGGCTCGTCGCTGGCATCGCGTCGTGCCAGTGGAGCTGGTAAGAATCCATCCTGCCCGCAGAAAGCGAAAGATCGACGATATGTTCGTCGACTCACCCGCCTACACCCGGATCAAACAGAAGGGACAGCCAGGAAAGAAACGCCCATACGTGTCATCTACTCGCATCACTTCTTGTAGGTGTTCTTTGGGTAAGCCGATGCTCACAAGCATACCTTTGCAGGAGCTGGTATCAGAAACCGCTGTGGGTCACGGTGTATGTCTTCGTCAAGATGACATCTCAAATTGGTCCTCCGCCAAGCAGCAAAGCAGTCGCCCAAGCGGCAACAAACAGCCAAACGCGACCACTGGGAGCACCAACAACTCTCCCACCTCCGCATTTCAGATCACAAACTTTGGATGGTTTTAAAAACTCCAGGACAGTTGAACTCTGCATGTTCCTTGCTAATCACCTCCGCCCAAAGTCAATCAAACAACAACCCGACAAAGACTGCAACGCACACAGAATTGCAGTAGTCTGTGGAAAATAAAAACTCAATGGTATATATATATATATACATAAAGCTCGACAGCTGTCCTATACCCCTTCCAGGCCCTGTCGTGATCTACTGTCCTGGTTTCAGCATCTGAGCGACGGTCACCACTGCAGCTGCAAAGTCATTGCCCAAGATCTCAAAGGCGGAGACAAAGCCCGCTGCAGGATCCAAGCGCGAGGCGGGCACTGCCGAGACCAAGGCAAAGCCTCGCGAGGCGGGCCTGCTGTTCTTGGGAAATTGACTTGGAGAGCCTGGTCGTCTTGGGCTTGTCCCAGAAAGTCCTAATGGTGCACAACTTGGAGTCAAGGTTTCGCCAAGAGGCACAAGGTTTCAATGATCCAATCTAGTCCCCAAAATAGGGGGTCGGACCAGCAATCTGAACAAACGAATTCATTCGCTGACAATCCCTTCGCATGTGCAGAGATACAAAAAAAATAGATATATATATATATATACACAGTCAAGTTTGAGACTGAAAGATCCCAAGCCTGCAAGGCATGTAAGACCCCCTGAGACAAAGAGGCCCAAGAAGAGAGCATTGGGCACAACTCGCCGGGCATCCTGTGGCAAGCGACATGTGAGTGCAAGATGCGCACTTCAGAAGGGAGAACGAGAAATGTAAGATGAATTGCTGAAAAACGCAGCCCGAAAAAAAACTGATTGGATATATTTGCGTCACTTGCTCAACCCCATTCCCGCGGAAAATACCGAGGGGGCGGTTAATCCAATTTCACTGCATCGGAGTACCACGATCCCCCGATCCTCATCGTTCGCCCGAAGTGGCGAACGAGTTCATCGAACCCTCGCGTTACAGATCTCACCCTCCCCCACTCTTGGGAGGAGGTGTGAAAATCAGGCCCGACGACTCGGTTATCATCTGCAATTGTCCTACAGATATCTCAAGCCAGAAGGATCTATATGTTGATATTTTCATGCTTGACAACAATTTAAAAAAACAAATCCACTATGATTCTGGAGCAGAAGGGCAAAGTGAGTGCTGGTCACATTATGCATACAATATGCGTCCTATTCCCTACGACGGCATTTTCGGAATCTACCTTTTGTGATGTGTTTGCACCACTATGCCCATGCCTCATGTCAGATCTGTTCAAGTCTGAAATTACATGCACTTCCTGGTTCAGTATCAGTATCCGATCTCAAATCACAGCAAGAACCAACAGCTGTATATATTGCTAGTTTGACTCGCATCCTTGGTGTCAAGTGCAAGAGCACAAACAGCATCAAAGCCCAGAAAACCAAAGAAAGAGTCAATAGCACCACGTAGAATTCCAGAGATGCCGTACTCCTAGCAGGGCTTGAGTGCAGGATTTGGATTTCATGCCGTGTCAAGACCACCATTTTGACAAGCTTCCAATCTCGCTCGCTATGTTCTTTTCGTCGTTTGGCTGAAGTCCGCATGCTGATGCTTCCACAGAATCAGAAACAGTTCGGGCTCCTCTGGGATGAAGGGTTGTAAGTTCTTGGCATCGAAGGCCATCAGTGCAGTGGCGATCAAGAAGAGGATCAAGCCCACCTTCGCCTTGGGCCAACCCACCCACCGGGTCCCACCGGGTCCCACCGGGTCCCACCGGGTCCCACGCACCATGACCGTCCACGACCCCCCAAAAAATACCCCCAAAGTTGCATGTCTAGCACAATACCCGCCGGAACCATTCTTTCTATCTTGTTCATGAGGTCAATATCGTTGAACCAACTATGAACAAACCACCATCATGGCATAAACCAAAATAACAAACTGCGCTGCCCCGTTGCCACTGTGCTCACGTTGGTGAAGAGCCTCGAGGCCTTGGTGCCATTGATCAGCAAACCGGTGCAGAACAGCACTAAAAGCACCGCAGGGTCCAAAACCTCACGGAGGAGCAAGGTCAAAGGCGTATGACGTGTAGACTCTTGACCCATCAAACCGGATTGTAAACCCCCCCACTTGGATTGTAAAACCACTTATATAATATGGTTTGTTGAAATATCATGTTTTGTTAATCTAAATTAATTTCAACCCTGCTCGACATCGATGATCCTCCTGTGATATGGTTGGGACACATTACAGGAGAGCCCATCACCCGGTCCCGTCACACCATCCAAACCACTAATCCAATGCCGCAGTCCGCTGCAGCATCAGCGTTTGGGAATCACCAACAGAGGTAGCTAAGAGCTGTCTATACCTACAAGAACCCCTAAAATAACGGAAAATCAATGAATTTGACCTGATGACTCTGGAATTAGAATGAATTATATAGAGGAAAAACAGCATACTTCCTTTATGAAGGCGTGTGAAGGCACCCTTTCTTAACTGACGTGTGAGGGTATCGAATTTGGATATTCTATATTTATGACTACTTTGGAGGGTTATAAGTCCTATCTGATTCGTGTGCATGCCATGTTTTGCCAATTTTGAGGTTACACATGACTGGGGAGTTAACCTAGCACAACTCTCAAGACCCCAGCAGGCCGAACTCCCATGTCACTCGCCGATACTATGTCGTCTATACCATGCTTCCCTTTAGTGCCTTCCCCCAAGTGCCTGTAGAAAGGGAAGGCCGAAGTCAGCACGCAAGAGCTTTCCAGACCAGTCGACTGAAACGGCAGCACAGCTCCAGGAGTATTCCACAATGAGGCACAGTGCTGCCACGGCCATCGCAGATCGGCCCAGCCCAGTGGCCTGCAGGGCTCAGAGGTAAGGCAAGGAAGTCTTGACTGCTCAGTCTGAGTTTCCTGCGATTGCCATTCTCCAGCCACCGCTGTTGGCCAAGATTGGCCTGCCTGGGCGTAGGCGTACACCGACCCAGCCGCCACCACACGGCTTGCCAGCTCGGCATAGGCCGTCGCACTCAGTAAACATCCCATCGCTCCAATGCCCAACGAGAGCACCACCGCGGGCCCCGCTTCCTGCGAGGCCACCCGACCGGCCAAGGAGAAGACGCCGGAGCCCACGGTGGAGGCCACGGACAGTGCCACCAGGTCCGCTAAGCCATACCGCGCGCCACGGCGCTCACCGCCGTCGGCCCCACGTGGCACCAAGTCGGCCCGCCGCCTCCGGGGCGACGGTCTCGGGCCTCGGGGAAGAAGGGCCGCTCCAGGTGCCGCGCGAGGGGCCAGCATCACATGGGCCCGCAACATCAGAGGTAGTCAAAGGAAGCGTGCGAAGTATGTGCAACTCTTTTGATTCTTCTGATACGTGATCCTTGACCCTGAACGATCGATGCAAGCACCGTGATCTTTGACAGTGAGATTGCCAACTTCTGTGCAAGTTTGAGTCTGAGTCATCTACCAACACACGTACAAAACATCGCCAAATGCTCGATGTTAGGTGCCTCATAAAGCCGCTGAAGGCGATGCTGATGGGAAGCTTCCCGTGTGTACCTCAGAGCGCCCGGTTTGCTCCCGGTCCTTCGCCCGTGAAGAGCGCGGCGAAGAGCGCGGCACGATGCGAATGCGCACCGCTCCAGCTCACCAGGGCTCAAGCCTCAGGATCTGTCTCAAACTGTGCCTGTAGATTCTGGTGTCCCGAGACCAAGCTCTGGTTTGGATGAGCCAAAATGTCGCTCAGCATTTTGGAGCAGACTCCAAACATATAGCTAGCCAATGTAGCTGCTAGACTCCTAGACGATGCCTATGCGCCCTTGATGGAGGAAGCGCTCTCGACAAAGCTTGAGAAGTGAGTCCCCTGGGGCCGGGCGGAGATACTCTGTGCATTGAATTCCCATAGCTCAAGGGACGCGTCTCAAAACGGTATGTTTTTTTAATGAGAAGACCAAAACCCAACTGTCATTCAAACAGTTTGAAAACGCACTTTTCTCAGGACATAACACCATTTGGTCCACTGTGGGTGTCTTCGTGCAGGCTCCTGTCCTTTGCCTTTTGAGATTGTACATGAATCAAAGCACGCAAAGTGATTGTGTAAAAGTAATGTCAGAACCATGATTGATTAAATGATTAAAGTGTCATCAAATATCACCTGCAACATTGCCCATGTAGGCAAGCCCAAACAGCTTTCCGGACAGCAATTAAGCAGCCACTGTGACATCAATCGTGCTCGTTTGAACCCACCTGGTTAAATGTAAAATGACGGGTCGCTTGTTGTCCCTTTTCAGCCCTTTCATTGGTGCAAAGGGTATCCTTGGTCACTTCGCATCAAGCCTTGGGCATCAAGCCTTGCAAGTTCTCGAAAGCTCTGCACATCAACTCTCTGGGACATGTATCAACTCACTGGATCAACTCTCTGTGACCGCAACAGAGGACAGATAGCTGCTGACCCTGATAGCCTGAGAAGGTCAGTTCCGACATGGCGACAGCACATGAACATGGCGACAAATGTGACAAGGTGGCTTTGGCTTACTTAACATGGCATGAAATGCTTTGGTATCTTCCAACATTCCAAACTACCTTGAAAACTGGTACCAAAAAAGGTGCGGCTTCTTTTTCTCCGGTTCATTGGCACATCCGCAGGTCCATGGCCATGATCCGTTGAGCGGCGATCCGGGACAAAGCTTGGGCACCAGTGAGAATCAGAGGCTGTGAAAGAGCTGAAAAATCCAACACTGGAAGAAGGAGAATCAAGGATTGCTTTGGATCTACAACTACAAACATCTTCTGATCCACCAAATGGTTCTCAGTTCCTGCTGAAACAACGCTGCAGTTTCTAATCAACAGCTGAACCTTTGTCTCTGTGCTGGGTAAGTCTTTCACAAGCAAAAGATCCTGAAAAAGCTGCCATGCCTCTCATGGTCATCCTAATCAATCTCACCCCCTCGCTGAGCTATTCCAAGTCTCCCTCGCTGACTCCCTGTTCGCTTCCCTGGAAAACATCGGTGAACCTGTTTCCAGCTATTGTTTTCGGAGGGCAAAACAAATCCCAAAAAAAAGGTTTAAAGGATGTTTAAATTAAGGTTGTTCCACTGACTGGGTAGGCTAGTTCCACGTGTCTCGCCCGGATCACGTCGCTTTCGCTCCGGGATCAGCCCCCAATGGCTGAACCGTTTCGGGATCCCCGCAGTGCTCGCACTGGGCCATGGCACCATGCGGTCCCCCGAAAAAAACATTGTATAAAATGGTGTATGTATGTATGTATGTATGTATGTATGTATGTATGTATGTATGT